ATTTTCGGGAACGGCTCATGCTAGGAAGCTGAAGCTTCACAGAGTTGTTCCTTGGCCGCTTCTAATCCAAAGATTTCAAACTCAGTCATCACCTACCTCCAGGTCTCACATACGCACATGTCGAAGTTTAAACTGCACCTTCCTAACTCCAGATTAAGCTGACCAATAAGCAGTAGAGAGCTGCAATTCTGCAGCGCTACTTGTCGGCCACTGTTGTGTCCGTGAAAGTAAATCACTTGCCAACTCTTTTGCATCTCGCGTACGAACACGTGAAGATTTCACGCATGTGTTTTTGTAACTTCAGAATCCAACCAGTCAGACGACTGGAATTTTCCCAGCATAATCGACGGCGCCCTTTGACCAGGTGGACGCAAAAACGACTTACACGTCACTTTCATGTCTCACGTACGTATCACGTGCACACACGTGAAATTTGACGTAACTCCCCAACCAGAGCAGCTGGAGCGCTGCAACTTTCTAAGCATTACCCAGGATCGTGTTTGAATACTCGCGGATGAGGAAGGCATTCATGTTGCCACTCACGTACGAAAGCGTGAAATTTGACGCAGTTCTGCAACCAGAGCAACCTGAATGCTGAAACCTTCTGAGCACTACCTAGAGGAGTATTTGAGTAGCCTCAAGCGAAGAAAGCGTCCACTTCGCCACTCACGTACGAGCACGTGAAATTTGGAGTAAATTCGCACCGAAGCATCCAGAGCGCTGAATTTTTTAGGTATGGATTGGGAGTCGTTGTATAAATTCCTAACAATCGTGATGGCTGATCTCAATTTTTTTAGCTAGAAGCGTTTGCAGGGAAGAACGTGGCTTTGACGGCAAAACCTCTGGGGGAACTGTGCAAAAAACGTATCCTCATGCCGGCAGTCGTTACGCTTTCGACTAAGTTATTATAGTCCAGCGAAGAATGGATACATTGCTAATTTATCTAGCGTGAGGGGACACAAAGCTTTTTGGCACTCAATTAAGAGAGCAAGAAATTGACAAGGTTGATACCTTTTGATAACTTCGGTCTGGGATTGCTCGGCATTGAGTTTCGGGACCAGCTTGAGAAGAAGCTGGCAATGGCATGAAAAATTCTGCCAAAATTATCTATCCTGATCATCTAATGCTTTTAAAATTTTTTAATTTTATTAATTATTGTATTAAATGATAAAAGAAACCCTTCCAGCACCAGGCCAGCCGGTGCGATCATGCGTTTTTGCAACAAACTTGAAATAATTGGGTTAACAGCATAAACGGCTGTTTCTTCGCACTTACCTTGTGCGCTCAATACTGTAAATCATCGTAAACACTGACATTGGCGGGAGGGGAATAGCCCCTGCCTTTCTAGGGCTACGCAAAAAACCAGGTGCAGAATTGTAACACT